GAAGGCTGCAACTTCAAAACTGCTCACTAAGCTCAGTCCTTGCCACACACCTTGGGACAAGGACACACCTGTTTGGAGTGGCCCAGGGCAAGGAGTGATGAGCAGCCCAGGAGGAGTCCCCTTGCGGGTGTTCTGCTGCCAGAGCCTCTGCAGCCACCCATCACCCAGGGGGGGCTGGTTCTCTCCACAAGCACCTCCAGCCCCGGTCCCCAGAACAGCCCATGGGGCCTGAGTGCTGCCAGACCCACGAGTGACACAATGAGGACAGGTCATCACTTGGGTCCACCCACAGGACGTCCCCAGCCCACCACAGGCCGTGCCAAGGAGCTGCACAGTCCCTGCTGGGACAGCCTGCCACTGGGCACTGGCAAACACCACTGGAGCCAGGACTGGGGCTTGTGCTGTTCTCGTCCTGTTTCTTTACACTGTAGAGGTAGAAGATGCTCAACTGTCTGGGTCAGCCTGCCTGGGTTCGGTCGTGGCACTCAGGGCCCTGCCTCTCTCCTGACCAGGGTGCCATCGCTGTGCAGAGCACTTCCCACATGCCTGCAACACAGTCTCCAAGGCAGTCTCGACCAAAGCTGAAGCTCAGAGGCAGGAGGAGAGCAGCAGTCACTGCTCGGGAGCTGCAGTTTGGAGCCTGGTCCCCAAGAGCAGCATCACTGCAGCCAGGCACAAGCGGAGATGAGACATGAGGCTGACGTGTCAGGAGCAGCCGTGAGCACAGCAAACCTGCCCACAGCACAGCGACACCAAACCTGCCCACAGTGACACCAAACCTGCCCACAGCACACACAGCACAGCAACACCAGCTCTGCACGGAATCACAGCCGGCAGCAGAAGGCTCCCTGTGAAACACCACGTACCTGGCGGCACCATTGACTCACAGCTGACAAGGCGACAAATCCCGCTCGCCTTACTCAGACCCACTCCCACGAGCCCTATCAGGGAGTTTTACATTAAGGGTTTCAAAAGCGCGTTGGAGAAAACAACATCAACGCAGCTCCCAGAGCCCTGGCAGTGCTGCAACAGCACCTGCCTTCCTGTGCCACCGGCACCTGCCTTTCTTGTGCCCATGGCACCTGCCCTCCTGCCCTGGGCAAAGACTTCACATCCCAGGAAAACTCTCAACTCTGGCTTAAACCCGGAGAAGTTCAACTCACACCTCACCCATGAGCGGCAGAACATCTCTGCATGACTCGGTGGTAAAGCAATCTCATCCCAACCCCAGGACCAGCAGCGCTGTCATCAGGGGACTGAAAACACAGCCTGGGCATTCCGCTTGTTGTGACTTTCTCCACCGCCCTTTTTCCTTCTTGTATGTGTTTTCCTCATACACCTTCTGTCCCACAGCTGGTCAGTCCTGCTGCAGGAGGCACAGAGCTGCCACAGCGCACTACGGTGGGCTCCTGCTTCTCCGTCCCCTGTGGCCAAATACAGAGACCAGGAAGTACAGAGAATTAGAAATAAATACACAGGGAATTTCATCTATCTGGCAATGAAACAATGCTGAGCCAACAAAAACTGAGGAGTTTAATCTGTCTCCAATCCAAAAGAATTCCAACATGATCTTGACAGAGAAGCCTAAACAAAAACTTCAAGGGAAAAAAGATGTTCCATTTTAAAGCAAAATTACTTAATAATTTTGTTTTCATGGAAATCTTTTTGCCAAGAGACAGTTCCGAGTGAGAAGCTTTTTCTAGAAGAGCAACCTCAAAAGTACAGCACTGGACACAGACTCTGCAGCATCAGGAACTGGCTCAAATGATCCGAGGTCCCACTGGCCATGTGCTATGCAATTAGAGGCACCCACCAAGGTTCCCATTACTGCCTCAATTAGCCATTTGACAAATCACCTTCTGCATTAGCCTGCCTGTTTGGGGCAAATATGACTTGCAGAGCCATTTATTCCCTGAGAATATGAGAGCTGCTGCCCAGCTCAGGTGACAGGCATGGGGTGCCCAGCCTGTGCCTCAGCAGCCAGTGAGCCAGCCAGGATGGGGCAGGGAGCCCCTCAGACACCCCAGAGGCCCTCACACAGCTAAAGAATAGGATAACTGGGCAGTTAAAGCAGCTGCCAGGAATATCTGCACCCACGGTCCTTGTCAGGGCACAGCTCCTGGCACCACACAGTTTCCCCATGGACCCACAGAGTCCTGGCTGAGGGACCAGGGGTGGCCCAGGGGCTCAGCATCTGTCCTTGGCTTGAGGGGCTTCAGGCAAGGGTGTCCTCCGAGAGCCCTGCATTCACCTCTCCTCACCCCACCTGCTCTCCCCAAATGCCAACCCCTCCCTTTTCCTCTGCAGCCTCTTAGTTCTCCAAGAGCCAACAGCGAGAGCTCCACAGAAGACAAACAGGAGGCCATCACTGTCCCACGTCAGCCTGCAGGCTCAGCCATACACCACTTGCACCGCCCAGTAAGCAGACCTGCAGCTCACTTGGGGATGTAGCAGAGGTCTCCATTTCTCCTTGGGAGCCCCACCAGACCCATGCCAGCTCCAGAGAAAGGTACACAGGGACACAGACCCACCCCTGCAGCAGGGTTGTGTGGGAACTCCTTCGACAGCCTGGATCTGGGCATTGCACTGAGGAATTCCGTAACCTAAGTTACTTCTTCAAGATTTGTCATTTTGTTTTCAAAACGACATCGCAAACTCCAGGGTAACAGAAGGTGTATCTGACTAATTTGAAGCAAATGTTTCTATTTTGCTGCAAAGTACATGATTATTTGGTATATATTTCTAGAAAGAATGGTTCACTGTTCAGCAACCAAACCTTATACTTTCAATAAGGTTTGGATTTGGCTTTCCAGGCTTGAGCATGTCTCCAGTGTTGCTTCTGTTCTGTTCAACCACATTCTCTCTGCTACCCAGCCACACGGACAACAACAGGCTTTTTTTCCCAAAGCATTTTAGGTAACTACCTCAAGAATAGTTTTTGTTTAAAACACACACACATATACACAAAGCCCACTCTTAGCACAAACTTCATCAGATAGTCTCAGCAAGCACACTTTAATAGTGTGATATTGAAAAGTAATTTTACTACTAGCTAGAAAAGACTGAAGACTGCAGCGGATATATTTAGATGTGTATAAATAGACAACACTCAGTGATGTCTGGTCCAAGGAGTACAAATCTTCCCTAATGCATAGAATATGCCTGGCCCAAAATGCTTGAGCAGCACTTAGACAGCCTTTTCAGTTTGGCTCAGGCTCTGAGCCCGCTAATAGCGAGGCCATTAGAGTGGCACTCCAGCCTCGCTGCTCGCGCAGGGAATATGCAAAGATCGCTCTGTAAAACCGAGCCTGTTACCACATCTGAAAGCACGGGCAGTATTGATCAGCAATGGAAAGCCATTAGCTCTCCAGCCTCTGAGCTACCTCCACGTGCCCCAGAGGAGAAACGAGCCCTCCAGGCACCTCAGGTGCTCCATCTTCCCAAGACAGGCACCCCATGTGCCAGGCCCATCCTTCGTGCTGCACCCGCCTTCATGCCTCTAATCTTTCTCAAAAAATTGAGGAAGATCTGGTTTCTTCTTGTCATGCTGCTCTGCCATCTCTTCTGGGTTCCTATCCTGTGCCACACTACCGGACAGCCTTCCTCTCCCCATCACTGCTCACACCTTCAGCGGCCAATGGGAGCCTCTCTAGAAAAGAGCTGTATGAAAAATTCAAACCAACCCCCTGGGACGGCATCCTGAGCACTGCTGCAGCCAAGCCCAGCGCTTCTCCTGGTCACAAGGATGACAGAGCGCCCAACCTGCCAGCTCTCACTGGGAAAGAACAATCTGGAGCCCACTTCCACAGCTGAATGTGTTTGGTGGAATGGGACAACTGGAGCCTTCTCCTGCAGCTGTAAGTGTTTGTTGAACTGGTGAACTAGTTCAGCTTTGAACTTGCACTGGGCACTTGAGATATCCAGAATTTGCTTCCACTCACTGCCCTGCCATGATAAAAACAGGAACTGCTCTTTCTGAAAGAAGAAAGATGAGCTAATATGCCAGGAGATGTTTCTTAGCGAGGCTTGTGACTGCAGGCCGAACTGGCGAGCTCTGGTGTTCATTCTGCTCCAGCCTTATGCATTTAAACACATTTATTATGCATTTAAACAAATGCATAATCCCTTGAGTACAGTATATATATAGAACCATGGATCAGGAAGGTGTTGGGCACTGAGAACACTCAGGCTCTGGTACAGCTCCTTGTGCAGAGTTGAACCTGACTCCCAGATCAGCACAAAAATCACCAGGCCTGGCTCCAGAGCCCACTGGCACACGTCCCCCTGCCAGGACCGACTATGGCAGCACCACAGAGTCTGCTCCGAGGTGGGGCCCATACACAGGACCGGGGTACCCAGCCAGAATCCCTGGGGCAGCACACACAGCACTGATCACACGGGTCCAGCAGCCGGCTATGGGGGGACACAGCCCCGCCGCACCAGGACACGCTGGTCCTGGCACAGGCAGCTCCGCCCCACGCTCCTGGACACAATCAGGGCCAGGATTGGTGTTGGCAGAGCCAGCCCAGAGCCCTCCACACACAGATGGAACCAAATGGGCTTCAATCCCGGGATGGATCCATTTGGCCTCGCCAAAGTGCTGCCTGGCTGTGCTGGTCTGAGCAGCCCTGGACACGCAGCGCTCGCCCGAGGATGCACAGAATGCATGAGCTGACACCACGTGTCACGCAGAACATGTGAAATGGAAGCGGGGGTGGGGAGGATCACCAGCATGACAGCACGATGGCCAAGGGCAGGGACTTCCAGCTCCATGGCAGTCACCTGTAGGCTGCACAGAGCTGGGCTTGGCTGGGGACACCTGCTGTCCCACCCCTGGTCTCCAGGACCAGTGAGGCCATGTTCATGACCGCAGCTGGGACCAACACCTTCCTCTGCTCCAGACATGCAACGTAATAAGAAACGGTCCCTGCCCCAGAGATGCGACAGAGAGAGGGAGGGAGGAGGTGAAGATGCAGGAGGGGAAGCACTGCTGTCCCAAGATGCAGAGGAACTGCAGAGCCGGTGTCCCCCAGCCCATGTTGGCAAAGACCAGCCCGGGAAGGGGCTTTCCCAGTCCTCCTGGCCCAGATGTGCCCGTGGCCGCCTCACACCGGCCCGTGCCCGCATCCACTGCTCGCCGCCAGCTGCTCCTGGGCTCCAGGAGTCTGTGTGCTCCGGCATCCGCTCCTGGAGCCGGGAGGGCTGATGCTCTGACACCAACATGGCTGCGAGGCTCCGCCGGCTCCTCCGCCGCTGCTCTGCCATCTCCCCAACGGGAACCTTCCGGCGGGGAACGTCCATCCTGTCCTATATTCGCTCTCCCGCAGACAGCGGTGCTCGTCACGGAGACGGCGAAGGAGATGGAGGGGAGTACACCCGCATCCCGGGACGCGGGGGACCGCGACGGACCCCAGAGCTATGTGTGTGTAGCGGGCAGGGGCGCCGGGACGGGGCGGGGGGAGCCGCAGGGTTCCTGCTCCCTCCGACATAGCCCTGCATCCCTGAGCCGCGGTCCCGGCCCCGCGGGAGCGCCCCGGGATGGTTCCGCGCACAGCGGCGCCTCCGCCCGCTTGGGCAGCGCCGCAGCGCCAGCGGTGCCGCGTAACCGGGCGGCGGCGGCGGCAGCAGCGCGGCGCGGAGGGGGCGGCGGCCGCAGCAGCACGGGCGGCCCCGCACCATCGCCGGCCCCGCAGCATCCCCAGCCCAGCCCAACGCGGGCGGCCGCCGGCGCCGTCCCGCGGGCAGAGGCGGCAGCGCGGCCCGGCCCGTCCGTGGGGTGCCCGCCCTGCCGCTCCGCTCCGAGCCCCGCGCTCCCCGCGGCCGACGCCCTCCCGGGAGGGGCGTCCCTCCGCTGCTGCCGATGCCGCTGCCCCCGTACCGGCGCCCCTGCCGCGCCGCGGGCTCGCCCTGCCCTGGCCGTTCGGCACCCGCCGGGCCGCCCCCCGCCGCCCCGTCCCCCGGGCCGGTACGGCGGTGCAATGCAGATGTGCCAGGCGCGACCCCCCCCCGCGTTACCTGGAGCCTCCGGGGACGGGCGGCGGCCGGAGCGCGTCCCCTGCGGGTGCGGCCGCGGCCGGGCCCCGGCGGGCTGCGGGCGCTGGCGGCAGGCGGGCTGCCCGCCGCTCCGCCCCGAGCCGGCGCTCACCACCCGCATCCTACCGCGGCTCCGCGGCGGGGCTGCCCGCGGCCGGGGCGGGCAGGGCGGCCCGGGGACGGCCCCACGCGGCGGCTCGGGCGGGCGGCGGCACATGCACACACGCGTGGGCGGGGGCGGGGGGCGCGGAGCAGCCCGCCCGCATCAGCCCGCCGAGCCCGCCCGCATCGTCCCGCATCGCCCCGCACCGGGCAGCCCGCCCCACTCCGCGCCCGCCGGCGCTGACCTTGCCGTGTACCTGCGCCAGGTTAATCCTCGCCAAGCGCTGCCGCTCCGCGCCCTGCTGCGGGATCCTTGCGCCGGGCGCTGCGCTGGACGGTCGGACGGACGGACGGTCGGTCGGAGAGATGGACGGACGTGGCCGGGGCGCGGGCAGCCCCGCCGCCGGGCCGGCGCCTCCCGGGTGCGGGTGCCGCTAACGCGGGGCGGCCGGTGGCAGGGCCATGCGGCTCCGCGCCGCTCCGCGCCGGGCGCGCTCAGGCGGAGCAGCCGCGGCGGCGGGGCAGGGCGGGGAGCGCGGCGCCCGCGGCTCGGCCCTCCGCGGCGGCGGCTGCTGCGCCCATCCTCCGCGCCGCCGGCCTCCGCGCGGCCCCGGCCCCGGCCGCGGGCAGCCGCGCCGCTCGCTGCCGCATGGAGCAGCCGCCGCCTCCCCCGCGCCGCGCCGCGCCGGGGCGGGCTGGAGCAGCCGGGCCCTCCCCGCCCCGCCGCACGCACGGCTGAGCCGCAGCCGCCCGGCCGTCGCCGCGCAGACGTGCGGCCGAGCTGCCCCCCGCCGCGCCGGGCTCCGGGCTGCGCGCCGCCGGGCGGGACCGGCACCGGCCACCGGTAGGGACACGGGCACGGACGCCGGCAAGGACACGCCTCTGCCTGCCCCGGCGCGGCGGGGCCAGGCTACAGCGACGGGGACCGAGAGTGTCCGCGGCCCTCGGGGCACCTGCCAGCCCTTGCCAGCCTCCGCCCGGGGCCCCGGGACCGGAGCGGGCGGCGGGCGGGGTCGGCGCGGGGGGTGCGCCAGGGTTTGACCTGATGGTGGATCCGACAGATGCACCGGCGGAATCGTCCCGCGGAGCGGCCCCGCGGGGTGGGAGCGCGGAGGCGGCTCCGCTCCGCACTGCCCTGCATGGCGAGGGCTCCTGCCCACCCCCGGGGCGCACAGCTGCCCTGGACCCTGCCCGGTCCAAGGACAGGGGCTGCAGCACCGGACTTGCAGGAGGGATGATCCTGGCAGGAGACGGAAAGGCTGGGTCACCTTTGGGGGAGTAAAGTGGAAAGCTTTGGGGAATTTCGGGATCGTTACCTGTCTCCTGGATCTCTAACGGGGAGGAGAGTGCATTTCGTGCTACGGAATACTGACACCCTTTTCTAATGCTCTTTTGTGGGAAAATGCCGGGGACGTTGCAGGACCCGAAGCAGAGAGGCGCTACCTGGCGAGCCCGGCAGAGGAGCTAATTAACGAACCTCATCAGCGACCAGTGACCCCGCACCTGGAGGGATGTGCAAGCACGTGCCCTGTCGGCCGCTTGGCAACGGCACCGTTTCCTCCGACACCCTCCCACTGGGACGGGAGGCAACTGCCTCGGAGGCTGCCCCGGGACTGTCTGCAGCCGGACCAGCCCGCGGGGCCGCTGCTGAGGCTGCTCTGTGTGCTCGGAGGCAGCGGGAGCGATGATGCTGCGACCGGCATCTCGCTGCGGACGCACGTGGGGGGAGCCCTGTCCCAGAAGAAGGAAGATGCAGTAGGAGTCCTCAGACCTCTCTGCTGACATTGTGCCAAAGTTTTTTGTGCCTTGGGATGCAGCATCTGGCGTCGGTATGAGTGAGAAGAGGAAACATGTCAGTGCTCCCGGGCTCAGGGCTGTCCATGAGACCTGAGAGCGTTGAAGTAGAAAGAAATTTTGTTTCGTTGGTCTCCACAACAGCCTCTGACCCTGGTCTCAGAAGGAATGCAGCTCCCAGAGCTGCAGCATCCTCTGCCCTTCTGGCAGCCTCAGGAGCTGCCCAGAGCCAGGCAGGTGGGCTGGGCCTGTGAGTTAGGGCTTAACTTCTAGTCCCAGCAGCTGTCTCATGGAGCTGGTTCAAGCTGTTATGGGGACAGACAGGCTGGTAGGAGGGAATGAGTCTAATTCTTCTGCTCCCTCGAGGGAAAACTCATGTCAGCTGGTTTTGCTGGGGTGGGCTCTGCTGTCCTTCTGCCCACAGTCCTAGCATGGGTTTTCTTTGGAGCTGGAGAGCGTCGTGCTCAGCCCTGATTTGGCATTCACAGTGTACTCCCCTCTGGAGAGAGCAGAGAAGATGCTCCCTGGTAAAATATCTATGGTCTTGGCTGGTGTCCACCAGTGTCTCAGGCTTCAGTTCCAAGCATTTGCTGCTGCTCTGTCAGTTCTCTGCTGCCCCAGGAGCAGAGGGGCTGGTATGCCAGTGATGCCAGTGATGCAGCTGGCATTGGGAAGGGAGACAAGCCTCTGGTATGGCTTCTCTGGCCATAGGGACATGGAGAAGCTCCGTGGGAACTCGGTGGAAGCTTGTGTTCAGAGCCTGGAGTGTACTGAGAGTGCACTGGTTTGTCCCATCCAGCACAAACACATCGTGAGGTCTGGTTCAGGACCACTCTGAACTGGTAGCGGTACAGCATAGTGCAGGATCTCCACATCCTCACAGCTACAGAAACGTCCTGCACTCTCTGGCCTCAGGGCTTTGGACAAAGGCTGCTGTAGCTTCTCTGCCAGCCTGAAATCCCTCTTGAGACTGAGACGACACCACAGCCTTGTTAATATATCAGTGAGAAAACTATTTGTCCCTGGAGTGTCTGGGAGTGTGGGAGCTGTGGGTGTGCTGGGGAGATTCACTCCCTCATGACTGGGGTGGAAACCTGGCCTGTCTGATCCTGGACCTAGACCTAAGTGACAGTGTGTGTGGGGTGTCTGTGCCTGAACGCTCCCTCCAGCGCCCAGGGTTGGGCTGTTTTGGGGCAAATCTCAGTGCCCTGGGAAGAGACAGGTGTGTGTCCTGGCAGCGTTATCCCCGGTGCCTGGCAGTGTACCCCACAAATGGCACTGTCCTGCATGGCCCCAGCACTGGGGATTCACTCAGGTGAGGTAGCTCTGGCCAGGACTCGCCCTGCCTTGGGGACCCTCCCTGCTGCTGGGGCTCAGCCTCCTCCCCCATTACCCTTCTAAACAAGCCCGTGCTAGGGGATTTGTCTTGCTCTTGCCTCCAAGCAGTGTTAAAATGCCTTTTTCCTGATAGAGCCACTCATTCCTTAACCTGAAATCTTTCTCTGCAGGTATCATTTTAAAATTTCATAATTTCTTTTTTGACTGAAGTAAGGAGAGCTTCTTCAGGAAAGTGCTTTGTTCAAATAACACACAGAGCTGCTTTTGTGCACTTTCTAACCCTTAGTCACCCCTCAAGGAGAGACCTGGGGCCTGGGCACAGTGCCCTGCAGCAGGCTGGTGACGAGGTGCTGTACTCACCCAGCCTGCTGCCCACAGCAACCAACCCACGTTGTCACAGGGCTGCCTGTCCCTCGTCCCTTCAGACCTCCTCCCCCAGCCCAGCATAGACCAGAGCCATCCTTAGAGCTGTGCTGGGAGCCGGCAGCATTCTTGGGAGTCGCTGCCATTCCGCTGGACCAGCAGAGCTGGGCACTCCAGTGGGCAGGAGGGGTGGGATGCCCCATGTCTGCGGTGGTGATGGCTGTGCCGATACTGGAGCAGGGAGCGTTAAGGCATAGCATCACTGCTCAGCGATCATACAGCTTTCCATGGGCTCAGGAGCCCTTCCTCGCCGGGCGGCGAGCGCTGGTACCGCGTGCTGCGTGTACACCCTAAAGGAGACAGGCAGCAGTGCAGGCGAGCAGCGTCCGGACGCTGTGGGTTCTGACAGCCCTGCAGAAACCACGGCGAGGGGTGGTACGTGGCGCTCCTTAAGAGAGACTGTGGTACCTCACCAAAAAGTGTTTGAAACCAGCAATGTCTATTCGTTCTTACAGGGAGAAAATCCCCTGTCCTATCCACCCAAATGTCAAGTGTCACCCTGCATGGAGTGGATTCCCCTTCCCCAGAGACAGGAATGCTTCAGGGACCAGAGCACGTCAGCCTCTCCCTCTAGAAGAAGTGGGGAAGTGTGTGGAGTTACCCTGGTTCTCATTTCCTAGGAATGTTTTTCCATTTTAAGTTCTTTAGTCTGTAAGATGGGGGAGCTGTTGCATTGTACAAAAAGGCAGGGACCGATCCTGCTCCTTCCCGAGCGCTGCATCTCCTTGTCAGCAGACTGGAGGTGAGAGCCCTCGCTGGCTGGGGAGGCTCTGGGTGAGCGATGCTGAACCTGGCCCAGGCAAACAGGCTGCTTAAGGCAAACTGACGTGACGTTTCTCCCCAGGGTACGTTGGTGGGTGGTGGAATCCCAGCACAGATTGATTCCCAGTCCCTCCTGTGCCAGCCCCGCACTGCCTGTCCCTGCCACTGGCACTGCTGGTGAATCAGACCTCTCACCCAAAACCACTGCACGGTGGGGGGACCAGCAACAGTTTTGTCCTCAAACAGACTTGGTTCATCACATGAAACCAAACCAAGTAATAGATACTTAATAGTCGGAGTGCATCCTTTTTAAAACTTTTAATCAAAAAACAGCTTGAAGTCAAGATTACAGTAGTTGTAGAGTCTATTTACTTGATCTTTTAACAGATTTGCTTTTTGAGTAAAAAAATAATGCATTGTTTTTTTGGTTTTTTGTTTTTTTTTTAAATCTCCTGCATGATTATATGAAGATTTCTAGAAGTTGGTACCTGGCTTGTTAAAGAAGTGCTTTAACTGTTAGACACAAGCTGGAGGATGAATGCAGATGAGCTCTGGGTGACCTCACACCAGCCACGATTCTGCATCACATGAGCACGATTTTGTCTAGGAAAGACCTTGAGGCACAATTAGGAAAAGTTTGCTGTTCTGACTGGGAACCTTGTCCCCCTGGCCCCAGACCTCCTCGACCTGGAGCCAGCACGTGAGCTCAGGGCTCTATCTTTGGCCAGCTTTGTGCCTCACACGATGGCTTTGCTCACCCTCATGATGGCTGGTGGGGACCCAAGCTCATCTAGAGCATGGCTTGTTTAATTTGGATATAGGGGTGGGAGGAAATATGGCAGATGGAGACCCTGCACAAGAAATGGGAAGAAAAGGATTTATTGCAGGGCTGTGAATCAAAAATAAAGAATAAGCCCAGTCATAATTTAGAAAAACAGCCTTTCCGAAAAAACCTGTTACCTGCAAAAGGCTATTTCCTTCTGCTAGGTGTCATTGTCACCTCCAGGCACGGGGACCAGTGTTCCCAGGGCAGGCAGGGACCAGAGCAGTCGGGGAGTGCCAGGGGCTCACTGTGGCTGGCAGACAGCGCTGATGTGTGAGATGGAGCTGGGGCAGAGTCTGCATGAGGAGGGGGCTGCTGACACCATGGGCAAACCCAGTTGTCCATCTGTAAGCAGACTTACATGTGTTTTTGAGGGAACCAACACAGCTGGAGACAGGAGGCAAAACAACAGTGCCCCAGAGGAGGACTCGGGGCTGGGGTGCAGTACTGTGATCTGATGGGCTGTTTTGGGGGAAAAGAGCTCCAAATTTCTCTTCCCGAGGGTGGGATTAACTGCACTAGATCCAAGAACAGTGATTGCCCATCTCTGAATGCGGCATCTTATTGCCCATCACTGAACAGTTCAGCAGTGCTGGGGGAATGGTTGGACTCGATGCTTTTGGAGGGCTTTTCCAATCTAAATGATTCTGGGATTCCATGATTTCAGCAGAGGGAAGTGGTGGGTGCCCTGCAGATGGGATTGGCTTC